GGTGGTCGTTGGTTCGAAGAAGAAGAAGGAGGGCAGCCATGGATGTCGAGGGAGAAGGAGGGGGCGGACCGGGTCGAGGATGGGGTATGGGCTGGGTATCCGGGTTTCAATTTCAAAGGTGAAGAAAAATTGTTTGGACTTTAAATTATTTGGCCCAAATATGACTTAACACTCTTTTATTTTGCCTTTCTTTTCCTGAACTAATAAAATTAAAAATTCCAAAAATCCTAAATTAACTTATAGGACTAGATTAATTTACAAAAGTACTACTAACTTTTAATAACAATTAACACACACAATCAAATAAAATCACATAAATTGGACATAAAATGCTAAAAATGCAAAAAATACATTATTTTGTGATTTTCTTTCTCTTAAAAACAAAACATGGTTCAATTAATTCCTAAGTGTACAATTAAATCTTAAATGTGCATGCAACATATATTTTTGTATTTTTAATTAATTAAAACAAACTAAACATTCACAGAAAAAAATAATTATCCAAAATGTCACGCAAAGTTCTCAAAGTTGTACCCAAAGGCAATTTGTTTTATTTTTCGATTTCTCTGGGAGTAGTTTTCGTGAAGCAAAAATCACGTGCTCACAAGATGGAAGGGGTTTAAGTTCCAATTTTGGGGTTTCCTCAATTGACGGCTTTGGAGGAGGCCCCTCTGGTCTATTCAAAGGCTCGAAGGGGTGCGTCCCTTGCAAGTACGCACAAGATGTATCAAGGATGTGCATCATCTCCTCAACCTCCTCATCAACCCCTAGGCTATCAAGCAACATAAGTGCTTTCTCTAGAGAATCGTCTAGATATACACTCAGATAATGAATCTGCTCATCGGCCTCAACAACAGATATCATTGAGAGCTCCTCATAGTGGCGGGGAAGTTGGATTGCTCTGTAGACATTAAAAACTGTTTCCTCGTCATTTACCCTCAAAATCATCTTTCCCTCTCTCACTTTGATAATTGCATCACCAGTATCTAAGAGAGGTCGCCCCAATATGATTGGAACCAGTTCGTCAGCCTCATAATCGAGGATAATGAAATCAGCAGGGAAGATGAATTTCCTAATCTGCAGCAACACATCTTTAATCACCCCTTCAGGGTGTGCTATCGATCTGTCAGCCAGCTGTAACATCACAGTAGTGGGCCTTGGAGCTCCCAGGCCCAGTTGCTTGAACAAGGACAGGGGCATTAGATTTATGCTCGCCCCCAAATCACAAAGAGCACGACCTACATCAATATTGCCAATGCGCACCGGAATCGTGAAGCTGCCAGGATCCTTAAGCTTTTGAGGGAGCTTATTTTGGACCCTTGAAGTGCACTCCTCAGTAAGTGACACTATCTCAAATTCAGTTAATCTTCTCTTGTGAGCCACTATATCTTTTATGTATTTAGATACTTTGGAATTTCACGAAGCACATCAACAAGTAGGATATTCAATTGAACCTGGCTCAACATAGAGAGGAATTTTGTGAACATGCGATCATCATTATTTTTCTTCAATCTCTGGGGAAAAGGTGGTGGTGGTCTTGGGGCCTCCACTGGCTCTGAAATTTCAGCAACATTCTTTGGCTCTTGAGTCACTTTAGGGATCAACCCTCCCTCAGGTATGGGCTTGTCTTTCTTTTTCTTTGGCACTTCCTCTAGCTCCCTCCCATTTCTAAGTGTAACTACATTCACTTGAGGGTTCTTTTCTGTATCACTGGGGTGGGCGCCTGCAAGTCTAGTGTTTTGATTTGTTGCTAACTGCCCCATTTGCCTTTCAAGATTTCTGAAGTCGGTCCTGAGTTGTTGATTGTCAATCAACAACTTCTTTAGCAGATCATTGGTACTTTCTTCCATTTGTTGGGGTGGTCTCTGAGGCTGATTGAAATTCCCTTGGGGTCTATGCTGATTCTGATTCTGCTGATTTCCACCCCATGAGAAGTTGGGATGATTCCTCCAATTTGGATTGTAAGAATTCCCGTATTGTGCATGCTGATTCGGTGGACCTCTGTTCTGTTGCCCCACATAATAGATGGATTCTGGATTCGTGGGGCACATATCACTCATATGACTGTCGCCACAGAGTTCGCAACAAATAGTCATTTGTTGTACATGTTGCATTGTCTGTGGTTGCTGCATTGTCATCCTAGTCATCTGATTGGCCAACTTTGCAATATCGGCTCTCATGGCTGACACTTCGTCTAACTCAAGTAACCCAGCTGATTTTTACTTAACTGCCTTTCGTGAATCACCCTCACCTTGCCAGTTATTATCATTAGCAATGAAGTTATTCAGCAAGTTTTGGATTTCATTGTACGGTCTGGCCATGCAACTACCCCCACAAGCTAAATCAAGATTCATCTTTGAAGCATCATCTAACCCATCTACAAAAGTGTGACCCAATACCTCGTCCGTCTGGCAATGATGAGGACAGTCTCTGAGCATTTTCTTGTACCTTTCCATGCAGTGTCTCGCCATCTCGTTGTTCAAACCCAAAAATTTGACTCCTCAATACCTTTGTTTTATTAGTGGGAAAAAACTTGATTAAGAATTTCCTCGCCAGATCATCCCAAGTGCGGATTGAATTTGCTGGCTCTTTATTCAACCACTCCTTAGCTTCCCCAACCAGTGAAAAGGGGAAAAGTGTCGGCCTGACATAGACCTTGGAAACGTTCAGATAGTTGTAGGTATCCGTAATTTCCAAAAAATTCTGAATGTGCCTCTGCGGGTCTTCATGAGGTAAACCCACAAACAACCCTGTGGATTGGATCAGCTGCACCATGTATTGTTTTAGCTCAAAGTGCCCAGTGATGTCAGGCTTCACAATAGCCTGAGTCATATTAGCCAGACTGGGCCTTGCAGCTTCAATCACCGCGCGTTCCTCATTACCTGCCATCTCAATTGGCTGTGGTTGAACTACGATGTCCAACTCTCTTTCAATTCTGGTTCTAGAGTCCACCTCCCTCCTCAATCTGTGAAGTGTTCGTTCAATTTCGGGATCGAGAGGAAGGAGATTGTTTGCGCTTCTACTTCTTCGCATTCAATAGAAACTCCTGTATTAGCACAAACAAAGTGAACTGAGAGTTAAAACTCGAATAAATAAATAATAAAAGCTCAATTCAGTCAAGTAGCTAATTTCTAAGTCTCCGGCAACGGCGCCAAAAACTTGTTGCGACCAAAAACACTCACGCAAGTGCACGTGATCGTCAAGTAATAGAGTAGTGAGTAGAGTATCGTTCCCACGAAGACTTATGATTAACTGTTGACTGATTCAAACCCAATTTCTGTATCTACCCAAGAGATTGTTTACAAAAGAGAGATATAATTATTTTACTACTTAAACTATAAAGAATTAATCTAACTAAAGCAAGTAACCAAACGAATAGCAATTTCGAGTAACAAATAGTAGGAGAGGATATTCCAGGGTCACATGCATAATTAACAACCGTGTTGTGTTCTTGGCTTATAATGACTAATCAATTTATCTGGGTTATTGATTGACAGGGTTGATATTACTCATAAGAATCTGTCGAGTTCTTACTCGCCTATTCAAGTCAACTCAATGCCTATATGTCTATGGAATTAAGATTAACAAGAACGCATTTACAATTNCCTTGGGCGAGCTTGACTTTATATAGGTTAAGTGAGATTCTCTCTAGATTTCCAATTTTACCCCTAAATAACGTTTTTCCGGATCGGACACGCGCGAGCTCGCGCATAACTTCGCGCATGATTCTGCCTCTGCTTTTCTTACGCGCGAACTCCTACGCGCCTTCGCGCGTTTGTTCGCGCACCTGGAGCTTGATTTCATCCATTTTTTCATCTCGTCCTTGAGCGCACTCAACTCCGAGGGGTTGTTCTTGATCATAAATCATTCCAATATCCTCTTGAAAGCATCATACAAGCTCCTCGTCCTGCAATATATACATATCACAATTAAAGCCTATTTTTTATCAATTAACCATAATATGTCATTGGAACATAATCAAGCGGAAACATAAACAATAGCTAAATCACCTAAATTTCGCATATTATTAATGAGGTATAAGAGTGGTATACAAATTTAATACCACCTTAATACTCTTTTTGGTTAGCAAATTAACACTGGGATAACTTATACCTTATAGAAGGTGGAGTAATTAGCACCGTTATAACTTATACCTTCTTCTTAAAAATTATGCAATTGTCATTCTTAATATAATATACCAAATAATAAATAAATAAGAATTCAGCATAACTAATCCCAACATAACTTATTTCAATATAATTTATACTGACCCTATGTGTTGTATTTTAAAAATAATTTTGTGAATTAAACTTTAAAGAGTGGTTTTGTTTTGATTAGACCCACCTCCCTAAGATTTTCTCTGAACAGGGCTCTGTTCCGTAACCTTTTTAGACCTTTTAATTAGTGGGGTCCTCCTGTGTTCCAGGTGGCGACTGAGTTGGTTTACTCATTTTTTCCATTGGATTAACTTTAGGGCTCGTTTGGTGGGAAAGAAGTTATGCCAGGACTAATTGTTTTGGAATTAATTATTCTGAGATTATTTTTTTTATTTTTTTATGGGGATAGAAAATATTATAATTTTGAAATAACTAATCCCGGGATCTGTTCTTTTCTATCAATCAAACATGAAATAAACTTTTAATTTAGTTCCGGGATTAATTATTCCTTATCTCGTACCAAACGATTGCTGAGTAAGTATGTTTTTTTTGTTCTGTTTCTCATTTTACTCACATATTATTTTATTTCAAATGGAGTAATGGTTTCGATGACATGGACAGCCACTGCATTCCAAATTTCCAGTACTAAATCCATATATGCAAGAACCGATATCTGTATTTCTGATATCCAGAGAAAGACTACGGAATAGAATCTAATTTTCTTCTTTGATTACTCCTCCTATAAGTCCTAAAGTTGATAATTGCTAGCTTGAACATTACTTGCAGTTTCACTAAGACATTTAGAATACATTAACAAAAAGGAATAAAATCTAGGACTGATAGCTTCTAATTATTATTATTTATTATCATCTTATAGTGTAATTCTTTTTGATATTTGGTTGTGGCTGTATTTGTTCATAGCAGAAGCGCCAGGAAAGTTAGGGAGGAAAAATGAAATTAAACAACCAAAGGGGCAGAGGAGAAGTGAGAAGATGTACAGATTACTGTAATCTAAGCTCAGTATTTACTATACCCTCGGGAGCAAAATTTCAATGAAACCCAACTTTTTAAGAGGGCAAACCAGGAAAATTTATGCGGTTAAGACGACCTGAGTCCTACTCAACACACACGTTGAAGTTGTTTTACATCTTCTCAACAGCACAAAAAGTTAATTTTGTTTTTGAAACGGTGCTGATGTAGTAAGTGGGTTTTGAAAGACTCATTGACAGATGTGCTCCGACTCTGCTGCATGCCTTCCATTTTTCATATAACCCTCTTTTCTCTCTGTTTCTTTCTGTTACTTGTCCTTAGTACTGGCGTCACCTTTTGGGGTCCTATTGAACTTCCATTTTTGCCTTTGCTCTCTGTTGATTTCGTTGGGTTTCAAAATTGCAGTGCTCTTCTTGTTCTGTATGTGCTGTGAGAAAACGGAATGGGTGCCTTATCTCGTGCTTCTCTTTCTGAAGAGGAACGCAACAAAAGACTTGTTGAAGCTGGGAATGAGCTGCTTCAGCATCTCCCTTCTTCTAAAGAGGAGCTTCTGGAGAAACTTGATGTGAGACCCTTTTCTTTTCAAATGGCACTGTATTTTTTTTTTTTTTCAATTTTATTCCCGACCAAGATCAGAGTTTTTGCGTTTTCTTAAATGCTGCTTCTATGCAAATGTGCGTTTCTTCAACACTGCTGTTTTGTTTAATAAAAGGTCATGAGATAGTAACTTGTTTAATTTTTTTATTACTGACTTCCTAAACTGATTTGAAATTTGTTTCGGGTAGAAATTGTTAGTTAATCCTAGGATTTAATGATCCTTTTCTGTGTATGTAGTGGCGATTGGTAATGGTTTACCCTATGAGTCATTGATTGAAGCAGTTGGAATCTTAGGGAGGGGGGCTGGGGGAGGGGGGAGGAAGGAGGATGGTTTGCATCGGTTGAAGACTCTATTAAGCCTCCTAGCGAAAGATCACCTCCTAATAAGAGGTATATTTCTTTTTAAAGATATTCGAAGAATTAAAAGCTCCATTTTATGTTTGCTTTGCAAAGCAATTGGGGAGGGGGGTTCAAAGTCTGGATAAAGATGGAGTGATGTGGTAGGTTGACATCCAATGAGTTTCTAGGGCGTGAAGAGCAGATCGGATATATAGGATTCGTGTATAGCTGACCCCTTCTAGTTTGGGATTGAGACATAATTAATTGATATTGTAGGAATTATATGATTGCTTGGGGAAGACCACGTCCATGAAGTCGTCATGTGATAAACAAGGTGTAAACAGTTTAAGTTTTGTGACTGCATCTCAGCTCTGGGACGAGTTTGTGCTTCACACCTTTAGCTCTAATATTCCTCCCGCTATGAATCATCCATTTTGTG